AGTATTCACACGTGTATTAAATTATTCCTTTGCCCATATAATTAACTGTCCAGTTTTATTACTGCATTTTTCCTCACCCAAATTCCTCCACTTTGTTAATCTCAATTGTATCTTAAACTATTTGAAGTCATAATCAGATTTATGCTTTATTTTATAGCTTACATTCTGAAAGCTATAATTTTCAGAAGTTAAACTGATGAAACTGTGTTTATATCACAGTTATCAGTTTATATCACAGTTATCAGTATAATGTATCACAGTTAAACTGTGACACATTATAAATTCAATACCATCATCATCTTCTAAACTCCATTTTTTCCCCTGTTTCATCTCTTCAATTTCCTTTTTCAGTTCTCCTATGTTTTCCATAGCCTTCTTGCGTTGCTCTTCCCTCCACTTCTCCACTCTTTCTTTTCGTTTTCTCATTTCTTCCTCTAGTTTGTTCTGATCAAAATTCTACAATTAAAAAAAAAAGGTGAAAGTTATTAGCTACTGGCTTTAGTCTGTGCTCTCTCAGAGTGAACATTTCTTCAGATCAATTAAGCTTTGTTTCAGCACACAGCAGAAGTTGGGACATCTACAAACCTGTAACAACAGAAGTAACTGAAAGATATCGAGATCAATGTTAACTCTTTCAAACAAGAAATTCAGTTTTCTGTGTTGTTTTTCAAGGTAACAGCTGGCATACAAGTTTTCAAATAACTACTCCTTAAGGAATTACACTTTACTTAGTAGGAAAAATATTCCACAACAGTGAGTTTCAATTTATCTTTGCCTTTGATCCATAAAAGGCTGAATAATTATTAAATTACCCTCTATATCCAATAGTCCTTGGAGTGGAACAAACTGAGATTGCTTAAGCATGGGCTGCCCTCACTGATAGGGCAGCCACTGTTAATAAAAAAGGGTTAAAGTGGCGGTTTTAGAAGAATTAGTTAAAATTACGAATGCAGGAACTTTTCACCTAGACACATCTTTCCATAACATGACTTTAAGCAAATCAAGCTTCTTTTTCCTTTTGTTCTTTCATTCCTGTCGAGTTCCATTGACCAAAGATTTTCCAGCAACCCTATCAACACCCAGAATGTGAAAAATGAGATACCCTCCATTCTTTCCTGTGGTTTGCAGGCTAAACAACTTCCAATCTTGAGCTGAGAAAAACATTCATCATGCCAAGAACTAGAAGCCTACACCACAACAGGGGTCTGTGCTACCGAAGAGAGTACAGAAACTAATTCTTTAATTCAGTGGAGATTTTGTCCAGAGCTAAGATGGGTGTTTTTTTTTTTTTTTTTTTTGCTACTACAACAATCTGTTGGTTAATAGAAAACTGGTAAGATCATTACCTCGGTGGCCACAGTAGTCACAGGAGCATCCTTCTCCTTTTCTTCTTCTTTGTCATCTTTTTCTTTTTTCTTTTCTTTTGAAACTTCCACACCATCAGTTTTTTCTTTAGATCTTGATCTAAAACGCAAGATCAAAGATTATGTGTATCAGACTTAGAGCGTTCTGGCTTTTCTCAGGAGAATACACATGTGCTGGACAGAAACAATGCTATTAACACCATGAACAGGATTCTGGTTTTTACTATCTCACAAAGCACATTTTGCCTCCCAACAAACCCTTCAGTTTCATGGAATTCTTTCCTGCAGGCATGGTAGTGATGGGTTCACGGTTGGACTTGATGATCTGGAAGGTCTTTTCCAACCATAATGATTCTAATAATTCTGTAACTGCTAGAAATGTACAATTTATTACAACTATGCACTGATGCACACTCATCAGTTCTGTCTCCTCATTTCTTTACAGAACAAGTTGCAGACTTCATTTCCAGAACTCTTGCAAGTGACACTCTAGTGGTTCTACAGTTCATTTTAAACATCCTTGAAGACAGCACTTAGAAATGTAGAAAATGGATTTTAAAAATATCTGTCTACTGTATTTCTAGAGAAATGTAAAGTGATCTAGCACCTTGCCCTGGAATTTTGAACATACCCCTGAGTACTGTCTGAAAGATCTAAAAATCACATCCTCCTGACAAAATGTGCAGACCAGCATTAATTTTATATGTATCACAGATTTTATTATCCTTACATGCTTCCAATTAAATAAAGAAGAAGAAATAGATGTATTCCATATTGCTCACTCAAAACACTTAACAAACAGGATGTAAGAAAGAGGCGGTAGCTTTACCAAGGGAGACTTCTTGTGCTTCTCTGAAACATGATGCTACATAATTCATCTTTCTGCACAACTATCGAGAACATCTTTTGTGGAACGCATGGATGAGACACTGAACACAAGCAGTGGCACCACTAGTGGCACTTCAAGCTCATATTACTATTCTCCGATAATTTATAGCACTTCAAAATTTCTTATGCTCATAAACCCATCTAAACTATAACAAAACACAGATAACAAAGCTCTAAGCAAAGCACTGTTAGGCATACAAGGTGATGAACATAAAGTCAATAAAGTAAACGAGTACTAGAAAATATTTGCATTCTACAATTATTTTTAAGTAAACAGTCCTTTTTCTGTAAGTAAAGGAAACAATAATGTCCTTAGCACATGCCAGAGACTGCCTGTATTTTATCAATTTGCTAACACATGCTGGGCATAAAACATTATTTACTGAAGCATTATATACTGGAATGAGAGGCAGCAGAGAAGCACTACAAGACCTCAGAATGGTCTCAGGTTCAGTCTTAACTCTGAAATTAACTGCTTTTGGGGTTTTAGGTGTCACAACTTTAGCTGTAAACCAAGGCTTGGATCTTTTTTAAACAGAAACATTCTCGCACCAAACTGCAGGAGAACCAAGTAACACACAGATATGTTAGTATTCATAATCCTTCGAAGAAGGAATACATTTGATCCAGGAAGGCACCTTAAGCAATGGGAGAGACCAGACCAGAGCATTGCTGAATATTCTCTTTGTTTCACAAACCAAAGCTCCACATTGCTTTGTCTCACGATTCCTGACTGGCTACAAACAGTTTTACAATCAATATCGTGGCAACAAAACACAGTGATTAGGGAACACAAATACCTGTTCTCTGTTTTCTTGTTCTTGCTTGGACTAGGGGATCGAGACCGTCTCCCTCTACTCCTGCTTCTAGAGCGTCTTCTCTCTCGGCTCCGGGATCTTCTTCTCTCCCTGCTCCGCTCCCTTTCTCTACTTCTTGAACGTCTACCACAGAGCAAAATCACATTTATTTAGCACAACATAACGTAATCTTAGCCTGATCTGAAGGAATAGGTTGTGAAAGGAATCCAACACTGCTCAAGGGCACTACAAGTTTACAAACTCCTACACTAGCACCTAGATGCCATCTAATAAATGAAAATAAACTAAGCAGGATAAAATCCACCAGAAACAACACCAAAATAACCAATTATATCAAAGGAACACTCGCATGCAGGTGCCTGGCATTTTTATGTGTATTGTGTGGGTTTCCCAGCTCCTACCTTTGACGCTTCCTGTCGCGCGACCGAGACCTTCTCTTGTCCCTGCTGCGCGAGCGCTCCCGCCTGCGGTCCCGATCCCTGCTCCGGGAGCGCCGGTCGTCCCCACGTTTCCCTCGTTTATCCGACGGAGAGCGGCTCCTGGAGCGGCTGCCTGAGCGCCCGCGCGACGCGGAGCGCTTCCGGTAATGCCTGGTTTGCAAATTCACAAATGAAAAGAACATCAGTATGAGAAAAATAACTAATGCTATCAGAAGATGTATTTGTCACATTTACATGGACAGCAAAATAAAGAGCCTGCTTATCTTAATTTCTTGGATTTATTCATTTTCTAAGCGTTTTTAATACTCCTGCAAAACTAATATGCGCACATTCCTAATAATGGCAAAATTAATTGGATTATTTGGTCTTTTTTTTTAAAAGTTTTGATATACTGAGGAAAGAAAAGAAGCCCTTTTAGAAATGTGCTGATGAAGGGAAAAATGGCCAAACCGCAACCAAAGGAACACAGAAGGATGAGCACACGTGATGCAGCAGCCTCTCTGATGCTGGCACCACAAGGCACCCCATAAGGCCATCAGACATCACCACAAAACCCTTGAGAAGTCAGTAGGGCTTCAAGGGGCTCTCATGGAAACACATGTCTCCTCCCCTCACTAACTCGTTTGTCCCAGGCAAACTGTGGGATGGGGTAGGGCTAGGATTTCTCCCCAAAACTCCTTCCTTCAGCATACAAGTTAGGGGGACCTGCACTGGGACCATCTCCCCTCCAACTCCTGATTTTCCACCAGAACATCAGAAAAATCCCCTCCCTCATCCTCTTGTAATCCAAGACCACAGACCCTTTCACCCCACCAGCCTGGTGGTACCGCGTGGGAAGCAGGAAAAAGCAAAGAAAGCAAAACCTCAAGCCCTTGGCCTCAAGCCCTTGGGTTCTCTCTTTACCTTTCCTCGCTACCGGGCAGGGTTATCTTACAACTCCATCAGCACTAAAAATAATAGCTTATTTCAGAGTGTGGATATATTTAGGCACCGCACACACATGGAGCCGCAGCACCGTGGATACACTGCCCATCAGCAGCAAGGCCGCGCATGCAGGACGTCTCTCAGGGCCAGATATCCCCGATTTCTTGCCCATCTCTGTCACCACGGCGCTGTGCGATGTGTTCCCTAGCCCCCCACTGAGTGTATGGTACATTGGCTCCTGCAGGACGGACACAGCGAGGCTGGTGTCTCATCCCAGCTCTCAAAAGCCCCTCCAAAACTCGCACAAATCAGGGAACGGTGCATTCGGGAGCATCAGGAGCTGTGGAGCTGCTCGGAAAAGATCGGGTCGGCAAACGGGGTAGCGCATCCGACCGGAGCAGCCTCGGTGGCTCTCAGCCGCCAGCGCCGCCGGGCTAACGAGTCTGGGCTAAGCGGGCTCCACCTGTGGGATCCCAGCACAAGCCCCAGGCCCACTTCAATTCCCGCTCCTTTGCCTCCCTCTGGATAAACCTTAATCCAGGATGTCCTCTCAGCCCTGGGACAGCCGCACGTGGCGGCACAAGACACCTATTGTCGTTGCATTGCTGTTTCACGGGGATAAAACCCTAAAATTGAACTAATTAAGCAGAATGAAACTAAAGCCGCAGTCAGGGCCGCCACGTGCTGTAAGGGGACTTTCAGGGTACTAAGAGCGGTCCAAGCCCGGCCAGGAGACACCGGGCACTGAGCTGCGGCCCGAAACACGCGGCCCGGGGGGAGCCCGTTAAACACCGCGCTGGATCCGTGCCCGGGGACGGGAGATACGTGACCCCGCGTGGCTTAAAATGAAATATGGAGAAAAATAAAACGTAACAACAACAAAAAGGCGCGAGGCCGGGCTGCAGAGGACGCGGCTACGGGTGTTTTTAACAAACCCGAGAAGGCCCCAGGCCTCTCCCCCAGCGCGTCCCCCGGCCTGGAGCGCGGCGGCCCGGCCGGCCCCGAT